GCTCATTTGACTGAACGAGTGAATAATCTGGAGCAAGTGGTTTCTTGGTTGGGAGATCAGCTAACAGTGTTGAATACCTGAGCTTTGTTGAAATGTGATTGAAACACTACCCAATTTTGTATTACTCCTGTTCCTTTAAACAGCACTGTACATAACTGGACTGAGATAAAGAGACTTTTAATTGGTCATAATAATCTTTCCCTAGAAATACAAGAATTAACACAGAACATTTCTGAAACATTTCGCAATCAGTTACTGTTGCTGACTGGTGCAGATTTGATGACTGGTATTGCACAAAGTTTGACGTCTTTGAACCCTATGAGTCCTGTAAAAACTTTGCTGACCTCTGTTTCTAGTAATGTATTGATTGTTGTTCTTGCCTTTGTCATTTTTCACAGTCTGCTGGAGACGGTGCCAAAGGGCAAACACCGAATCCCAGCGAGCCCAACATGTAATGATGGTTTTAAAAGAAATTCAAACTTGTAAATAAGGAAAGGGGAAACGTAGAGGACTACGTGCTAACAAACAGGGTGTTCCCAATAAGTCCTGCTCTCGCAAACGAAGCAGGGTGTTCCCCATAAGTCCTGCTCTTGCAAACGAAGCAGGGTGTTCCCAATAAGTCCTGCTCTTGCAAACGAAGCAGGGCGTTCACAATAAGTCCTGCTCTTGCAAACGAAGCAGGGCGTTGGGGGCCTGTTTATATGTAAACATCTTGAAAATCCAGAAAGTCAGGGAAAGGTCAGAAAAACAACAATGTGTCTTGGGACTTGGCAACATTCCGCAAACGACTGTATAAAATAAAGCAGAGGGCGCCATTCGAGGCGGCCGCCATGTTTGTCTTGTCTTGTGTTGTCTTGTGTGTTCATTCCTTTGTTTAGGAAACACGCGGACCCCAACACTTCAGATGCTAATGAGACATGCAACGTATGAACAGGCATGTACAGCTACTGTGCACGTGCACCCAGAGGACCACCCAGAACATGCTTACTAGTAACAGCTCTTCCCATCCCCTTATAAATAATCATGTAAGACTCCCATAAAGGGAGTCTCCCTAGTGCCAGTCTTGGTGGTCTCATCCTTAGGAGCAGCCTGCCCTGAATCCTCTCTCAGGGTGTACTGGCTATTCTGCACCTAACTTTCACAATATTCTTTTTTCTTTGCAATAAATTGCTCTATGCTACATCTCCTTTGCTGTGTTTCTCTTAAGTTCTTTTAAACTAAGAAGAACCGAGGTTTCACAACAGCTGTCAACATCTTGACAACTAAGCAGAAGTTGATTATATTTTTCTCCACGTATCTTTCAATACTGTGCACTATTACTACGAATTAAAGGTGTCTGACAAGAGTTCTAAATGATTCTATAAATGATGAGGTCATAAAGCCTAATATTTAAAGAAAAATGTTTAGAAAAGACACTGTAGTTATTGGGATAATAAAAAATCATGGAAACAGCATAGCTATGACTCTACATTTATCTGTGTATAATTATTACAAATAACAGGAACTTAACCAACAATTCTAAGCCAAAGACAGTATCTAGTAGTTATAGGAAGAGGATCTCATCATGACAACATTGCAGAATAAAAAGCTGATTTTTTCAGATGAATAAAATTTTTAAATGCTTAGAGATGTATCTACATATAGACATAAAGCAATAGGGTAGAAATAAAACAAATTTTTAAATGCCACAAGAATAAAGATATTTTGTTTTATGTAATATTTTCATTTCTAAACTCAATAAACCATGTTGTAACTGCTTTCAATAATCAAAATTGACTTCTTTGTCTTTTTTAATGTCCCTCTCATAGTAGTAACGAGAAAAATGGTCAAAAGTCAGGCACCAAAAGAAAGAGAAGAAATAAGTTGCTTGGTTGAGTTTCAAACTAATCATCTTCTGAATAAGAAAGGGTCCACAGAAATACATCTGATTCGTTGTTCACCTCTGAGAAAGGGCCAAACAGCAGGAGGACATGCAATTCAAATGGCTCTTTTTCTGGAACCACGACAAATACGGCTTTCCATTTCATCAAAACCTTCATTCCTCCTTTTCTCTCTTTTTAAAAACTCATTAATTAATTCTAGAGCTGACTTGTACAGCTCCCTCTCTCCTGCTCAGGTTGCCAAAATGACATTTGCTTCATTCTGTCTCCAAATGTTGGTTAACCAACAGGAGCCAAAACAACCTCTCAGTCAAGTTGGTAGAATAAGACATATTTGGAGATGGTCCAAGTACCTAAATAGAAAAATAACTCCCTGAGGCCAAGAGGCTTCCCCAAGGATGATCCCAGTCCCTTCCTCTCTATTAGGCTCATGTTTTGGCTCTGATCCAATTTTGTTGTTTCAATAGCTCTCATTTTCCGCTAATTATTGTTCTTTAAAAGCACTTTAGAAGACAGTTTCATATGGTTCAATCATAACTAAGGTTGTTTCTCACCAGTCCTTACAATGCTTTAGGACTGTCAACCCTAAGAAATTCTAGGAGGTTTGACTAATTAGAAAGCTGATAAACGATGTATCCAGTTTATCAGCAGGAGAACCAGTTACCTTTTGCCTATGAGACATGTTCTACCCTAAAATTGGAAGAATACTTTCTGCAGATATTTCTAAGCTAATTAAATTTCATTAAATCCTGGTATTCTCCCACCGCTTTCTATTTCTTTTCTTCATTTATCATTTAGACATTTACTATGGCTAATTACCAAAATCCTAAATCAAAATCCTAAAATTGGCTTATTTCAAATGTGACTGACTAAACTTACTTAAACGTGACTGAGTTTTAAAACGATACCTTGAATAAGCCATGTAATTCTTCTGTTTAGTACTTTCTCTTTGATATGAATCACAAAAAATAGTTTTATACTTAACTCTTTCTATTAATATTCAACATTTTAGGTTTTTCTTTTCCTTCCTTTCAATTCCCAGTGAAGTGCTGTCCATTGTCCTTTAAAAACAAATTTCTCTAAGTAATTTCAGTTTGAAAGTCATCCTCCTAAGCTTCTCATACCTCTCTTTAGCAATTCAAAATTTGAATGTGGAATAATAAAAAAAGCTTTGTTCAGATGTACTTCATTTAGATTTACCTAGACTTAAACCTTGCCTCTGTTATTTATTACCTATATGTGATACAGAGCAAACTAGTGAATATGTGCAATTTTATTTTCTCATTTGCAAAATGAGAAAATCAATATCTAGTCTATAGAGTTGTGAGAAAAATACCTGGCAAATAGTGGGCATTCGTTTCTTTTCTAGCTTTTTCCCAGACTGTTTAACTGAATCTGGTTCTTAGCATTTTAAGTTCCCAGATCTACCTCTTTCAAATGAAAACAATAAAGGACCTGTCCAGGGCTATACCTTCCTTAAAAAATCAAGATTTCATAAAGCCCATTAATTAGCATTATTTTGACTTACTTTATAAGGTTATTTCTCCCAATGATTTCAGTGGAAATTAGAGAAAAAAAAATCAGGCTTTTTTCTTTTTAGAACCACAGACTAAGAGTCAGAAGGAGCTTTAAAGATGATTTCCTCCTCTCCCTCACCTACATGACTAGATCAAGGCCAAGGTGGTTAAATTTACTCTCCCATCTCTTCAATATCACTCTCGTAGTTACATTTTATGTAAGTTATTTGTATCTGGGTGTTCTGACTTCTAGTTTAATACAGTGTTGTATTAGTTCATAATTTTTCACTCTAAAAATCATGCTTAGGGGACTTCCTTTCCCTTATAACTACTAAAAGGGGACATATAGAAAGGACCATCTTTAATGCTATAGATTGAAGTGTTTTTAAAATAAAACCGGACTTTGTACAGGTAACTAAAAGGAATACAAAGAATTTTAGATTATCATTACTTAAAAGAAGTTCATAAATGTAATCAACATTAGATATAACACTTACAGATTACAATGATGGCATGCTACGTCTGATATGCTGATTTTCATCATATTCCTTCCCAGGAAAACACCCATAAAAGCCACAACAGCACTAGGAACTACAGATAACCAGAATTAATTTGCCACATATCCGGAGAAAACTTACTCTCTAGGAGAGATGGCATCAAACTAAAAAATCAGTGGTAATCAATAAAGGCTTTGCCTTCTGAACAGTTACATAGATTATGAAAAAGAAAAGCCACAGAAAAAGTTAAACTTGCTTAGAAATCTTAAAGAATATATTATCTTAATTCAATTATTAATGCTAGTTGCCAAGATTTCTATTTTCCAAAAGATCATTACTTGGTAAATTCATATACAAGGAGAAAGTGGAAACACTATAGCACCAAACCAACGTGTAATAGTTGTGTAGTAGTTAAGATATTCTCTAGCCAGTTTCTTGTTTTTTGTCTCAATATCAATTTTTATATGCTTTCTTCCTTAAGACTTATTTTTTAAAAAGTCTCTCTCTTGGGTTAAATCTAGAACCAATACACTTTTTAATCAGGTGAACAAAATATAAAACACGATTATATTTATTATTACATAATAAAAAAATACAACTCATAGACATCTAGTGTTGGCAATATCCACTTGCTTACTTACCCTTCTAAGAATGAATGTGAGTTATAAAGAGTATCAGAGAATATTGTTTAGCTAACCCACCCTAGGGGAAGGAATAACTATTAAAACCAGGACAAACCAAAGTAAAACAAACAAAACACCTACTTCATGAGCAGGTAACACTGTGGTGTTTATTATAAAACTCTTAAACTTCCTTTAAACCTAAGGAACTCTGGTGGGGAGGGAGGTGAAAGAATGTAATTGAAGCTAAATGAGTACCAAATTAATTCAGAAGTCACCATTTTCAACTCTCCTTCATTTTCATTTATTTTAATAAAACTTCTTATGCAACACAAACTTCCACTACCATAACTCCTCTAGGAAAAAAATACCAAATTGTTCAGTGTCTGTTGAAATTCATAGATTCCCACATTCAGAGGCTGCTTTGTCCACATCACTAGCTGTCTACTGATGGATGGTGGTTTTGATAAACATGGTATCTCTTACCAGCCCTTCGCTTGGTTTGATGTTTGCTAGTTGAATCACTTCCAGGTGAGCAGACTGTGAAACCAGAGGATCTGATGACAGGGATATGATGTGGTCACAGACTCCAGAAAGAGTTTTACACTGGTAGCACAAAAAGAAAAATAGCTGTGGTAAATATGTGTTGTAAGTAACATATAAATCACCTTTTGTAATAATGTTTTTACAAGGAAAAATAAAAGAAACAGAAGAAAGTAACTGGCATTTTATTCTGTAAAATCTGTACAAAGAAATTCAGGTGAAATGAAAACACATTTACACACAACACATCTATATTCTAAATTATGAATGTAAGAACTATATGCCAAAATATTCATTAGTTATGGTTATACTGTTTCTATTATTTGACTTACCATACCTACAAAAAATGATGGTTAAACAAACTTAATCTGAGAACCTCTTGATTACAGCCATAAGATTGAACTGAACACTATAAAAAATCTCGACGTCTTTTAATTCATGGTCAGAAAAGTTAAAAAAATCTGGCCAAGATCCAGGAAAGATTAATCTTCCAAATATGCTTAACAAACTCTTCCTACTTATTTATCTAGACTTTCCTGCTCAACTTTGTATAAAGTTTCCCACCTCTTCCAGGCAAAATCTCAATCCTGCTTTCTCAGCATTCTATGAACAATCTGAAACTGTGAAACTATTTTATTCTGAATCCCTCTGAGGCAGGTACCATGCCCTACTCATCTCCGTCTTCTTATCTTTTTCCCTCCACCTCTACCTACCACCTAGATCAGGTAGACAAATTCTAGAAAATATAAAGCATTCAATAAATATTAGTTGAATGAACTGAAGATCAAATGAGCTTAAACAATTAGTAGAGTGGCTTTACTAAGGACAGAAAGCTAGTGCTTTTGTCAGGATAAATCCATTCATGCTAACTGTATGAAATAATAAATTTAAAATATGTGTTACAGCTATCATGGTATTTTAAGGCTTACAAATGGCAAAATCATGAAGAAAGTGGAACATGAATGAAGAAGCTTGAACTATACTGCCCTAAAATATGCTGGCCCTCAGATGCTTCACAGACTCTCATTGTATTTACTGAAGCCCAGTTTTCATCATTTGAAACTTTTTTTTTTGCTCTAACTATAGGAGGAACTACTATTTTGCAATCAAGGTATTACCATCTATCCATCTCCAACATGTTACATTTGTTCTGTAGCCACTGATTAGTCTACTGTGAGGTAGACAGTGTGAACTCAAAATATCTGAGACAAATCTCGGTCAATTTAGGAAGTTTATTTTGCCAAGGTTAAGGACATGCCCATGACACAGCCTCAGTAGGTCCTGATGACATGTACCCATGGTACATGCTTCAGCTTGCTTTAATTTTAGAGCGACATGAGACATAAATCAATATGTGTAAGATGTACATTGCTTCAGTCCTGTAAGGCAGGACAACTGGAAGTGGGGGCTTCCAGGTTAGAAGTAGATAAGAGACAAAAGGTTGCATTCTTTGAGACTTTGATCAGCCTTCCACTGAATACACAATTTAGTCTGGCTCAGTGAATCTGCATTTTTATATAAGCAAAGAGGGCACAGGAAGCAATCAGATATGCATTTGTCTCAGGTAAGCCTCAGAGGAATGACTTTGAGTTCTGTCTGTCCTTTGTCCACAAGGTATTTCCTTGTGGGCAAATTGTGAGGGAGGTATGTAGCTTCTTATCTTTGTAGCTATCTTATTTAGAAATAAAATAGGAGGCAGGTTTGACTGACATTGTTCCCAGCTTGACTTTTCCCTTGGCTTAGTGATTTGGGGATCCTGAGATTTATTTTCCCTTCACAACAGTTTCTCCTGTCTGGTCAAGATAATAAGAACTCTCTTTTTATTTACTATGTTCTGTCTTTGGTCCATGGCCTCACTTTGTGCTGGGCTCAGCTTCTTTACACTAAAGAAACTGTCATGTTAAATTTCCCTAATTGTGCTAGTGCTTTTGGCATCTGCTTCTCAAGTCTGTACGTTTATTGTGTCTATCAGTCCCTAAAGATAGACACACAGCCTCATGGTACCAATACCCATGGAATGGACATGGGCTTCATCTGAAGACAGATGTGGGTAATCACCACACTGCCAATGATTGCTGTGTGACTATAAACAAGTTATTTTATATCCTTGAGATTCACCTTCCTCAGATAGAAAATGAAATGAGCTAATAAAGATTACTTTATATGGTGACTTTATATTATTTATGATAATGCATTAAAAAGAGTCCAATATGGTTCCTATCCAAAAAAGACACCCAATAAATGCTTTTTCCTCCTCTGTTGCTTTCTCAACCCTCAAAATACTGGAATCCTACTCATGGTATGAATTATCTCATTATTCTTAATTGAATTACCTTGCTGACCATCTTACAATGATCAGTAATTACACTGGTTAGTCTAGCTGCATGGCCATGATGGAGAGTTCACATCTGTTTACTCTCTCTGATGTTCAGGTCTCAATGCTCTTAGATACAATGAAGGTATTTACTCTGAAAAGCTGCTAGGCAAAGTGCCAACAGGAAGATCATTCCCCTGAAACAGGGAACCCTTCAGGGCCAGCTTTGTGGGAAGGTGACTTGTGCAGTTGCACATGGGCCTACACTTGGTTTTATGCTCTGCTGTTGCAGAAATGCTTGGCATTTTCATTTTGCACTAGGTCTCACAAATTATGTGGCCCATCCTGGAATCCCATTCTCTGTATTTTTAAAAATTTGTCTTAAAAATATTCATCAGCAGCCATGGAGAAAGGACAGAATGGCAGTACTTAACATATAAAAACTGGCTGCAGTTCAAATTGTATGTTTGACAGGAAGAAAAATACTATGGCAGAATTAAATCTTTTAACTATTCCTTCCCTTCCCTATGTGGTTCTATTTTCATTCTTATTTTCTCTTTATCTCAAGTGGGGGAGATAACATTGTGAATGCTGAAAGGTTTCTATACAGGATACTTGGATAGCATGCTAATCTGAAGGGTATGAAGTCAGTATGTTAAAAAGAACCTTTGTGGTTTCTACAAATTGAAGCATATTTCAAAAGAGTCCAATATATAAATAGGAAAGTAATGGACGCATATAAATGGTGCTCTCTCTCTCATATATATATATTTCTTACAACATTTAAGGCCTCATATAATACTCTTGTAATGAGCAATAGTAGCTCTCCTATTCAGGCACTGGTAGTTTTATAGAAGTGAGGTGGAAAAAGGAAAGGCAGAAATACCAGACTGTAGACATTTTAGGGAAAAGAAAATACCAATTAAATTCATCATATTAACTTGTAAAAATGTCTCCTCAGCTTCCTCTTGAGTAATTTTGTTTGCCAAATGCTTGCTATGTGCTAGGTGCTGCTAGAAATGCAAAAGGTGAGTAAAACACATTGAGTTTACCAGCAAAGCTATCAGGACTTAATAGATTAAAGATCTTAAAAAATAGAGTTAGAAAAGAAATCCCATTAGAACTTTGCTTCCTGTTTTAGAGATAGTATACTAGAACCTTTATATTGTAGCATTTGGCACTTAACTAAATAAGGCAATTAGAAGGGGTATAAAATGGCCTTGTTTTACATGCTAATTCTATGCTCATTACTGCATCATACATCAAGTTACTGCAGGAAACCACATTAGCAGTTCCAGGGAAGTTATTTAACGTATCTTATAAAAGCTGAATTTGGTCAATGCTACTCATTAAGTGAAATCATGTGAGATATTATATTATTATAATTTATATTTTAAAACACAGTATTATCTATTACTACCTAAACATATTCTAGAAAAAGAAAATTATAAAATAGCAAGAAAAATACATTTTTATTATAATTCAACAACATTATTATTAGATATAATTTGTAGATCACCTACCATGTGTCTGGCACACTGCTAAATACTTCATATTTATTATCTCATTTATCCTAATAACAACTTCCTAAAGTAGGTATTATAGACAGTTTAACAGATGTGAGAAGGAAGCTAAATAAATAGACCAAGGTCATTAACATGGCAGAAAGACTTGAATTACTAATCATTATTGTGCTAATTCTGTTTCTATGCTTAGCTCTGTACTTCTTTTTTTGATCAATTTCATTTTGTATTGTTTAAAAATCAATGTCTGCATTAGATGGATGTTATATAACATGTTTAAACTACATAGTATAACAAAATATAAGGCAGGCTTGCAAGTGTTTTTGCAATTCAGAATGTAGTTTAGATAAGGAATATTAGAACTGAGACTGTGAAAGACATGGCTCTCTGGGAAAACTTAAAGCAATCTTACCAGCAAAAGGACAACTCTATGCTAGCTAGAAGATGACTAGCAACCATTGTTTAAAGAGGATTATTTGCTATTTTTGCAATATTCATACCAAATTATTTTATTTTTTACTTTATTTTATTTTTGAGATGGAGTCTCGCTCTGTCGCCCAGGCTAGAGTGCAGTGGTGTGATCTTGGCTCACTGCAACCTCTGCCTCCTGGGTTCAAGCAATTCTCTTGTCTCAGGCTCTTGAGTAGCTGGGACTACAGGTGCATGCCACCACGCCTGGCTACTTTTTGTGTTTTTAGTAGAGACGGGGTTTCACCATATTAGTCAGGCTGGTCTTTATCTCCTGACCTCAGGTGATCCACCTACTTCGGCCTCCCAAAGTGCTGGGATTGCAGGCATGAGCCACCGCGCCCAGTCCCCAAAGTATTTTAAATTATATTTACCTTTATTTCTAAAAATAGAAGAAAAATTTGTACCTAAAAATAAAGACTAGTAAATGATATGCCTTAAATAAAGCTACAGAGAACATGAAATGGAAATAAATGTTTAACTGACTTTCTGGATTCTGTTATAAACTACCCAAGGTGACAAAGGATTAATGACTGAATAACAGTTAACAGACAAGGGTAGCCATGACTTAATCTTTTAAAACTGAAGAGTTTCATATGCTGAATTTTATGGTATTGTGTGATATTTTTCTCAGGTAGTTTATATTAATTTCAAATATGAATATAATATATCATATTCTCAGGCTGAAATGCAAAGTTTTTGTATTCTGTTCTATACTATCTATCTGTGCACACACACACACATATATATATACACAC